CATTATAGAGTCATTTAACCAATAATAAAAAAGTTTGCCGCCACTGCAAAATACTAACAACGAGTTGGGTGGGATTTTTTAATGTTTCACGTTTGGCGGTTTTCAAGAGCAGCGATTTTCCCTAATGCTAGTGAGAAAGACCTGGTTATAAAAAGGTAAACGGCGGGTATTAGATGAGTAGAACAAGATGTAAAGCGAGTCAAAATTCGGGTCGTGGTGCTAGAATGTTAATTGCGCTATAATTAAAAGTATTTAAACGAAAGGGGACAGGGGCGTAGCCAAAAAAAATTTCGGGGGGCCCCCAAAAAAATTTTTCGAAAAGACAGCGCCGCAGGGAAAAATTTTTGAAAAAAGGTTGCATAGCTCTACAGGGTGTCCCAAAAAAAACCCCCCTAGCCGGCCGCAGACGGGTCCGATTTTTACGATTTAGGTATCTATCGAAAGCTCTCGGAAAGGCGATGTCGGGACGCCTGGTCGATTTTCATAATTTGGAAATTTTTCCATCAGTTACTAATGTTTTTGCAAAATGGGTGGATTTTCTGATTTTGTTCTGACCAGGGGATTTTTTACAAAAATCGCAATTTAAGAATTTCTACGCGTCTCCTGGCAACCCAACGACAGCTTTTTGAAAGCCGTTTGCCAAAACACAGCTTGGACAGCGCTTAAATCGGTTAAATTGCGTTTTGAACAAAAAAGTCTGTCCTTTTGGCCTGAAAAATGCCGAAAATCGAGCAAACGGGCCCCGGGGCCTGTATTACGCTACGTCCCTGACAGGGGAAAACGATTTTTTTTTTCTCGGTCAGCGTCGCGTAGTAAAACCAAACTGTGGACATTGCCTTGCCAGTAAGCTGGTTATAAAAATGCTTCAAAGCCTAGCCGTTATCAAAACATTTTTTTGGTAACTGGTGCTAGGAGATGAAAATAGCACGCTTCACCTTCATTTTCATTCAATCCATTCCCACCGCGCATGAAACACACAAAGCCCAAAAATTGCTCTGTTTTTCTATAATTATTTTGTGAATTTTCTCAACATTGTGAAAAAAATTGGTTAGCTTTATTTATGTTTCAACTTTCCATGGTTTTCGCGAATATTTCTTTGGTGAAGTGAAGTGCTCCAATTGTAGATCAATTAATAGTTTTATTACCCATCCATACCCACTCAAATCAGTGCCTGCCCACGGGGATGATAGAAATGTTTCAAAGCATTACTAACAACAAAGCCACTTTTTCGGGTGTTACTATCTGTTTTTTCTCGAATCATACTTCATTTGGATTTTGGTCATTTTTAACTTATAGGGTAAATTAAGTTCACTTTAAATAAATTATTTTGAAATCCTACCTTATATAATTTTGGAGTGTATCTCTGTGTGTGTGTGTGTGTGGATGTCACTTTCGAGGCCCGATTTGAGGGCCTTCACGTGTCCAAAACGCCTCAATTCTCCGTCACCCGGGGGGAATCGACCCTCCTCTTTCCGATCGCGTTCTCAGAATTTCGATAAAATACAAATTTACAAAGTTAAAGCCGGTTTTATCGATTTTTAGGGATCCAGGCAGGCTAATTTGCATAACGTGAAAAAATACAAATTTCCTCATTCTTGCAAACCGCGCTCGCGGGTTCGGTCGGGACAGGGCAGGGGGGTCCGAAGGACCCGAGCTATCAGAAAGTCAAACTTTTCATGCAAAGGCAGCATTCCAGCGCCCAAGGCCCGCGAAGCGGGTTTTGGGCGCTGGTGTCATTATAATTATATTCTTATAAAGATTCATAGTATTTCTTTAAAACAACTCCTTTTTTCGTTTGTTAACGAAAAATAAAATGTTTCACAGCACAAAAAAGCAATGGAAACACCAATTTAGTATTAATGCGTGTTCAAGGCGAATAAAATTTTTTTCGAAATCATCTGAGATCCCTTATAATTTTTAGCGGATTCCTCAAGTTTCCTTAAACAATTTCGGCTAGCCTGCCTTTTTCTTACTTTCCCCTTCCTTTAAAAACTTTTTGTCTGGTCTATGACTCTCTGGGAGAATGGGTTATCTCCGTCCCCAATTGTTTGTGGGCCCCAAAAAAGTGAAAAACACTGAATTTTTCATTTACTCTGCTGCCCCACACCTCTGGGGGTCTTATTTTGGGATGCAGCTGCCAGCCGGCGAAGGATCACTTTCTCAAATTTGTGCATTGTCAGTTATGTGTTTTGATTGATTTGATGCGATAGTGAGAGGAGCGAGAGAGAGAGTGCGAGAGGGATAGAGAGGGAGAGTGAGATAGAGCGAGAGAGCGAGAAGGAGAGAGCGAGAGAGCGAGAGTGAGATAAGGCGAGGGAGAGAGAGAGGAGAGACAGAAAGAGGTAGAGAGTGCGTGAGAGATAGAGAGCGAGAGTGATATAGAGCGAGAGAGCGAGAGTGAGATAGAGCGAGAGAGAGCGAGGAGAGAGCGAGAGAGAGCGATGATACCTACGTTAATATACTGAATAATTAAAAGAAATCATTCTCCCCTAATCCTTGAAACAGTCATTTTTTTGCCATCAATAAAAACTCGGGTCTAACTGCTGCTTTTTCAAATGTTCCAAATTTTCACCCTTAATCGCGATTTTTAAACGACTAATTTTTATCATCTTAAATATTTAAATTCTTTATACAACTACAAAAAACGGTTTCCAAATTTGGGTATTTTTAATTATCGTTGATTTCCATTTTTTTAAATATTTATTTATGGTTCGCTTTATAGAGGTAGCCATAGAATTCTCAAAGTATCTCTGCAAGCCTCCCCAATTCTTTTGCAAATTTTCCCAGAATGTCCTATTTTTGGGTCCTCGCAAACATGGGCTAACAGCCCCCCGGTAATAAGCCAAATCACAAAGGGCGAGGCTGTGCCCCAAATGATCTCTGCTAGTTTGCCTCATTTAGGGGTGGTCGTTGGGGTCTAACCCCCGTATAAGGCCGGCAGATTTCCATCGCTTATTGTTGCTCTCCCAGGTTTTTCCTATTTGTGCTGGGATGAAACATGAATTCTTAAAAAATTCAGAATATTTTACATTTGAAGTTTTTAAAAATTTAAAGTCATTATGAAGTTTGAATGTTCCTACGCATCAAAAATCACCCTGGAAAGGCTACAAAAAATATTTATTGTTATATTATATGCAAAAATTCGTAGTTGTAAATCTAAATGAAACATTTTTTAATTTTATCCTATTCCTCCGAATGCTCCGCAAACCCCCGAATTTCATCTCATTCTCTTTTGCAAATTTCTTCCGATAGGGATTCGCATATTGAACGCCATAAAAATTTGCGAATCTTCATACTTCAATGAAACTTATTTTTTTGTTCTAATTTAATCTTTCCCCCCAATTCCCCTGCAAATCCTCAAATGTCCACATGCATCTTATAAAAATTGCGCAATATTTTTTGTGGAAAGAGGTTTCGTCATATTGGACGCTAAAACGTTTTCGGATTTTGAAATTTATATGAAACATTATTTTTGTACCGTTTTCTGCCGTTTCGTCCCAATTCCCCTGCAAATCCTCAAATTCCCAAATGCATCCAAGTACACACGGATTCGAGAGAGAAGGGGGGTATCTGCTGTGGTTGTATCCATCTAAGGGAAGAGAGACATACGGGGGGCAAGCAAAGAGAAGGGGGGATGGACCCCTAATCAGCCTAATACGATGAGAAGAGCTTCTCCCCCCAAAACTCGAGATCCAACCCCCCATTCCCTTAAAGGCCAAAGGGGAAGCTTCTGCTCCTAATTGCTGCAGGTCTTTCTCTCTCTGTCTGTCTCTCTCTCTCTCTCTCTCTCCGTCTCTCGCTCTCTCTGTCTCTCTCTCTCTCTCTCTCTCTCTCTCTCTCTCTCTCTTCATCTATTGACCCCCTCATCTATCTATTCCACCTAAAAAAACCTATCCGAATCTTATCCCCCCGTAGCTTCCCGGCTTATTTCATGCAGCAAAAATCTGTCAAAACAAAGCAAAAAACAAAAATCTAAATTTCGTTAATTCGATCCGCCCTTGCAATCAGCTGCTTTTTTACTACCACCTATTAATGCGTAGACATATTCAAAACAGCGTGTGTTGTAGCACCGTGTAGCCCTTTTTTGGTCGGATTTTCCGAATGTTTCACTTTCGTCCAGACTTGGGAATGGAGTTGCCGTGCCATTATCACCTGTACAGCTATACCGCCTTATGCTGAGGTATCTACACATTTCCTTATGTGCGTACTGTAGCGTACTGTGCCCATTTCAATGGGCTGGCCGATTATTCGATTTCATTTTTTTCACGATTGGTTCCTGGTCCCTTCCTGCTGGCCTTCCTTCAAAGATATGCTACCCTAAGGCTACGTATCCACTTACTGTAAGATGTGACAATAGGTAGGGTAATGTAATCTATCCCAGCGTACTGTATTTTATTTTATTTATCCTTTACTTAATTTCTGCGACATTAATGGTTGGTTCCCGGTCGCGCGCCTCCCCTGCCGCCCCACCCCCCAGGCGCAGATGGCTGGTATGGAGAGCCCGGGAACCGATTTCAAGGGACCATTCGGGTGGCTGGTGTTACTGTAGCCACGCGTACAGTATCGTAACCTTGCGTATCATATTCCTCGATGTAGATTGTAATGATTGTTCACCCTCCGGGGTGTGCGCCGTTCCCAGCGGCAAGTGCAATGCTGGGCCGACGCTGTCCGGCGAGAAGCAAGCTTCTGCGAACCGAACCGATTCCAAAAATATGTTAATCTCTATACATCCACATGGGATGTGTATCGGAGATTAAGCCGATAAGAACTTATTAACGTTTATTAGCAAATTCTCGGCCCGAGGGCCGGATAATGCGGCAGTAAAACAATCTCGAAAGAATACACGAAATGACACGCAGGTCATTTAAATTAGGGCTTTACAACATTTTCAGGGAGAAATTGTGGGAATCTATTGATCACAAATGGATGGGAGATTCGGGAGGGGGCACGAAAAATTCACATTTTAAAAGATAACTAGCAAATGGATATCGCTTCATTTATGCTTGGTATTGGCGGTGGGCGGTGATGTGCTCGACGTAGGCATCTCTTGACCACTTCAGCGCATCGGCGACCATCAACTTCTTCATCAGCGCGGCGTACTTGACGGAGACGGCGAGTCGGCGCAGCACGTTGTCGTTTTCTTGGTCCCATCCGCCGAGTGGCCCGACGATGAAGGCGTCCAGGAACGTGTCGTAGCCATCCGCGTTGAACTTGTTGAAGATGTCGGCGTACTTGCGGAGCTTCTCGGCACGTGCGGCAGCGAAGACGCTCAGGTCGTGGTTCTCGAACGGCATGGTCACGTCCACGATCGTCACACGCTTCTTCACATGGTCGACGAGGGCGAGATCGGGACGTAGTTGACCATCAGTGCCGGGGATCTTGACATTGACATATTTCGTGGTGGTCGCGGGCAGCTTGATGGCGTTGACGAGGCGGTCGAGGACGGCGTTGTGGCGAAGGGTGATGGCGTGGGCGTGAGCAGGGCAATGACACAGGACGTGGGCGACACTCTCGAGTTGGTAGCCACATCTTCGGCAACGCTTGTCTTTCTGATCACGGGCGCGGTTGCAGCCATTTAGTGGAACGACGTCGAGTCTTGCACGGTGAACGAAGCGCCAGTCCGCAAAGCGGATATAGCGTCCGTCACGCAGGAAGTAGTTGGAGACGGGCTGGTGGGCGGTGATGTTGTAGACCTTGCCCTGGCTCTTCTTGGCGGTGAGGTGAACGAGCTGAGCTTGATGGACGGCGCGCTTGAGCATCCTTTCACACGTCTTCTTGGTGACGCCACATCCGAGCACGAGCAGTTGGATCTTGTCGTTGGTCCACGTCCACTTCACATCGAGCTTGTCGGTCTTGACGAGGTGGCCGGTCGCTTGTCGCACTCTTGTCCACATGTTGCGGGTGTCGGCGTAGTACGTCTCGAAGGCGCCGTCGAGCTTCTGGTTCAGGTAGTCGGCCACTTCGGAGTCGGTTGGCGCACGCTTGATCTTCTTCTGCACAGCCGTACGGAGCAGCTGAGCAGTCATTGGGCCGAGATCAGTCGACTCCAACAATTGGACAGCATGCACCAGCTGCATCACATCGGCGAGGGTTTTCGTCTGGATGAGGCCGAGGCCTCCCATGTTGTGCGGCAGGTAGACGACTTCGGGGCTAGCTTGACTCGGGAGGCTCAACCACGACTTGGCGAACTTCTTCAACTTCTTGTCGAACGGGATGAGGTGCTGCTTCTTCCCGACGTGGCCATTCTTCAGATGGAAGGCGATGCAAGGCAGGATGAAGGTGTTGACGGCATCCGCTTTCTGCCAAGGGGCGAGTAGAGAAGAGTGAATTTTGTCGAGGCACTGGTGCATCTTCGTGATGGTCTTGTCTGCAGAAGAGCCTTGGTAGTAGCCGGTGGGCACGCCGAGATGTTCGTAGTGGTCGTTGGAGTCGAGCGTCACCATCCTGGATCCTTGAACCTTGTACTCGATTGGCATGGTGGTGTGCTTGTTGGAGTTGATGACGAGGCTGGCACACTTTTTGCTGTTGAACACGAGACCGAGCCATGTAGAGACTTCGGATACGGTCTTGAGCACGGCATGTAGATCTTCGGGCTCCTTGGTCACGATGGCCAGGTCGTCAGCATAGGCGAGCACCGACACCATCCTGTCATTGATCACGAAGCCAGCATCCATGTTGATGACGGCACGGATGACGGGCTCGAGGGCGAGGTTGAACACGATCGGCGAAAGTGGACAGCCCTGCTTGACACCCGCTTGAATGTTGATGGCCGGAGTCGGACCAGTCGAGCTTCGGACGGATGTTGTGGCACCTTCGTAGAGACGACGAATTTCTTCGATCGCCTCCACGGAAAGGCCAGCGTATTCGAGGCATCGGAAGAGCGAGGCATGCGGGACGGAGCCGAACGCGTTGGAGAGGTCGAGCCAGGCAATGGCGCACTTGCTGGCGATCCTTGTGTCGCGACGGGTCTCGACGATCACGGACTGGAGGAGGAAGTTGTGCTCTGTGCACCCGTCGACCGGCATGAAGCCCTTCTGCTCGTTGGAGATGCGGTTGTGAAGGCGGGCCCATCTGCCGAGACGGCGAGCCATCACGGACGCGTACAGCTTGGCGACGGTGTTTGAGAGTGAGATGGGCCTCCAGTTGGAGGCATCATCCTTCGGACCTTTCTTGTGCACCAAGATGGTGTTCGAGCCGTTCCAGGAGCTTGGGATGTACTTGAGGCGGCGGACGGCATTCATGTAGGCGGCGAGGACCTTGGCACCCGGGTCGAACTGCTTCCAGATGGCGTATCGGACACCGTCGGGGCCAGAGGCTGTGTTCTTGACGTGCACGAGGCGGTCCCAGATCTCGGCGGCCGTGTAGTCGTCGGTGAACGGGTTGTCGGCACCGTCGGGGACGTCTTGGTCATGTCGTGGCACAGAACGTGGGAGTCGCGCTTGATCCGGCACATCTGTCTTGGTGAACACTTTGGAGAAGTGTCTGTGTAGATCATCGCACGGGATTTCGCAGTATGGCGAGGATTCCTCGGTGATTTCCTTGAAGGCCCTGGGTCGAGAACGCCGATAGAGCTTCTGTATGCGGGCGGCGGCTTTGGGACAGTACCGAGCTTGGTCGTGACGACGCCGTCGGGTGCTGGGAGATGTTGGAGCACGATGTGGAGCACGAGGGGGCGGCTTGCGAGGTGGAGGCTTGTCCCGGATCATGTGCTTGTCTTTGATGGCCTTGATCACGTCGTCGGCCAGTCGTTCCAGGTTGGTGTGGTCGGCCACGTTGTTGAACCGTTGAACCCAACCGTCTTGTGTGATGTCCTTCAGGGGTACGATTTGATGAGGAGCATCGGGTGACGGAGGACGGCTTTGTGGCGGGCTTGCGACTTGAGCACGGGCAGGGCGACGCACTGTGTTGACGGGCGTGACGAACGTCTCAGACTCGCTATCACTGGAACGCACCCTTGGACTCACAGGCTGGGGGGACCCAGGTCTGATCCGCCGTGGGCTATTCCGAGCGACAACGGGCTGGACGGGTGGTGGTGGCTGCGTGGCGCGAGGTCTCCGTGGTGCACGTGGAGCGGGAGCAGGAGCACCGGTGTTGCATCTGGCCGTGTTTTGTTGATGAGCCTTGGTCGCCTTGACGGTGTCGAACTTGGTACGACATATCGCACATCGAAACTTGACGGTGAGGTTGTGGATGGACTTCAGATGTCGGGTCAGTCCGCCTTGCACCTTGTACGACGGGCCGGTGGCGCACAGTCGGCACACGTATGTGTCGGTAGGCGTGGCGATGAAGTAGTAGTCGGGCTCGTCGCGGCACGTGTAGTCGTCATCCTCCTCGTCCTGGTCTTCCGGAGCTCCGTCACGGCCCCCGTCCGAGTCGGCCTCCGAGGAGGACGAGTCGACGGGCGGCACGTAATCGTCGCCGTCCGGAATCCGCAGGCTGTCGTCGTCCTCGTCGTCGTCGGGCATTTGAAGAGACGCTGATCGAGTGGTCCGATTTGGCTCGGTAGTCTGTCTCAAATCAACCGTCAAGGGCGATAAACCGATGAGCAGCCGAAATGAGGTCTCCCCGTTAAGATCAAGTCAGAAGAGAGTCGTTAAGATCAGAAGAGCTTCTCCCCCCAAAACTCGAGATCCAACCCCCCATTCCCTTAAAGGCCAAAGGGGAAGCTTCTGCTCCTAATTGCTGCAGGTCTTTCTCTCTCTGTCTGTCTCTCTCTCTCTCTCTCTCTCTGTCTCTCGCTCTCTCTGTCTCTCTCTCTCTCTCTCTCTCTCTCTCTCTCTCTCTCTTCATCTATTGACCCCCTCATCTATCTATTCCACCTAAAAAAACCTATCCGAATCTTATCCCCCCGTAGCTTCCCGGCTTATTTCATGCAGCAAAAATCTGTCAAAACAAAGCAAAAAACAAAAATCTAAATTTCGTTAATTCGATCCGCCCTTGCAATCAGCTGCTTTTTTACTACCACCTATTAATGCGTAGACATATTCAAAACAGCGTGTGTTGTAGCACCGTGTAGCCCTTTTTTGGTCGGATTTTCCGAATGTTTCACTTTCGTCCAGACTTGGGAATGGAGTTGCCGTGCCATTATCACCTGTACAGCTATACCGCCTTATGCTGAGGTATCTACACATTTCCTTATGTGCGTACTGTAGCGTACTGTGCCCATTTCAATGGGCTGGCCGATTATTCGATTTCATTTTTTTCACGATTGGTTCCTGGTCCCTTCCTGCTGGCCTTCCTTCAAAGATATGCTACCCTAAGGCTACGTATCCACTTACTGTAAGATGTGACAATAGGTAGGGTAATGTAATCTATCCCAGCGTACTGTATTTTATTTTATTTATCCTTTACTTAATTTCTGCGACATTAATGGTTGGTTCCCGGTCGCGCGCCTCCCCCTGCCGCCCCACCCCCAGGCGCAGATGGCTGGTATGGAGAGCCCGGGAACCGATTTCAAGGGACCATTCGGGTGGCTGGTGTTACTGTAGCCACGCGTACAGTATCGTAACCTTGCGTATCATATTCCTCGATGTAGATTGTAATGATTGTTCACCCCTTGCGGGGTGTGCGCCGTTCCCAGCGGCAAGTGCAATGCTGGGCCGACGCTGTCCGGCGAGAAGCAAGCTTCTGCGAACCGAACCGATTCCAAAAATATGTTAATCTCTATACATCCACATGGGATGTGTATCGGAGATTAAGCCGATAAGAACTTAACGTTTATTAGCAAATTCTCGGCCCGAGGGCCGGATAATGCGGCAGTAAAACAATCTCGAAAGAATACACGAAATGACACGCAGGTCATTTAAATTAGGGGCTTACAACATTTTCAGGGAGAAATTGTGAGAATCTATTGATCACAAATGGATGGGAGATTCGGGAAGGGCACGAAAAATTTACATTTTAAAAGATAACTAGCAAATGGGTATCGCTTCTTTTATGCTTGGTATTGGCGGTGGGCGGTGATGTGCTCGACGTAGGCATCTCTTGACCACTTCAGCGCATCGGCGACCATCAACTTCTTCATCAGCGCGGCGTACTTGACGGAGATGGCGAGTCGGCGCAGCACGTTGTCGTTTTCTTGGTCCCATCCGCCGAGTGGCCCGACGATGAAGGCGTCCAGGAACGTGTCGTAGCCATCCGCGTTGAACTTGTTGAAGATGTCGGCGTACTTGCGGAGCTTCTCGGCACGTGCGGCAGCGAAGACGCTCAGGTCGTGGTTCTCGAACGGCATGGTCACGTCCACGATCGTCACACGCTTCTTCACATGGTCGACGAGGGCGAGATCGGGACGTAGTTGACCATCGGTGCCGGGGATCTTGACATTGACATATTTCGTGGTGGTCGCGGGCAGCTTGATGGCGTTGACGAGGCGGTCGAGGATGGCGTTGTGGCGCAGGGTGATGGCGTGGGCGTGAGCAGGGCAATGACACAGGACGTGGGCGACACTCTCGAGTTGGTAGCCACATCTTCGGCAACGCTTGTCTTTCTGATCACGGGCACGGTTGCAGCCATTTAGCGGAACGACGTCGAGTCTTGCACGGTGAACGAAGCGCCAGTCCGCAAAGCGGATATAGCGTCCGTCACGCAGGAAGTAGTTGGAGGCGGGCTGGTGGGCGGTGATGTTGTAGACCTTGCCCTGGCTCTTCTTGGCGGTGAGGTGAACGAGCTGAGCTTGATGGACGGCGCGCTTGAGCATCCTTTCATGTTTGCGAACCTTCTGCGAACCGAACCGATTCCAAAAAATATGTTAATCTCTATACATCCACATGGGATGTGTATCGGAGATTAAGCCGATAAGAACTTATACTACACATTGATCTTAGCCAAAGGCCAGAAGCGATACAGGCTTCATCAGTTGGTGTCTCATATCCGGTTGGAGTGGGCCAGGCGGGGGGCGGGGCGAGACGGGGGCAGGGAGCTCACAGGGGGCATGCAGGGGGTCTGGTCAGGAGGGGGTCTCCCGGCCCTTTTGGGTGACTGGGGCAGTACTGCCGATTGGAAATTACGATTCAACTTTATAAAATTAGTATCGTTTAGTTTAATTTAGGTTATAGCGTTAATCGACCCCTAGGAGGCATCTGGACGATATCTGGTTCGGGGGCTGGGACGCCTCCTTTGAGGCCTGAATGATAAGAATTGAGGGGAGAGGGGATAGGCTTGAAATGCTATTAAAAAAAGGGATTTATACTAAGTCTTAAATATTAGTTTGCATATTTATATATTTACATTATTAAAACGTATCTTTAAATCTCCTAATAATATAGCTAATATTTTGATCGGAGGCTGAGGGACTAGCTACTAGTCAAGGACAGGGTTGGTCATTTTCGGATCGGACTGGATCCGGATCTGGATCTGGATCGGATCCGGATCCGGATCCGCCGTAGGATCCGGATCCGGATCCAGATCCAGGGCGAATCCGATCCGATCCGGACCCAAGGAAATGGATCATGCAACCGAGTTAAGTGCTAATTCTTAGATGCAAAGATCAGTTCTGCCTCTGGGCTATGTATTTTTGCGATTAACATGACCGAATTAGCATCAGAATCGAGAATATTACTTCCGGTCCCTTTTTTCCTCGGATCCGCATTGGATCCGGATCCGAGCGGATCCGGATCTGGATCTGGATCCGGATCCTACTGCGGATCCGATCCGGATCCGGATCCAGATCCGATCCGGATCCTTACCGATCCGGGTCCATCGGTGAACAACCCTGGTCAAGGACAATATCAAAGTATGGTAGCGACGTGCGCTTAAAGTCCGATTTAAAAATTATTATGATAAATTATATAACTTCATTGTTAAAATTCTACATCAATATATTAAAACAATTGTAAAAATAAAATGTTTTAACCACATTGCGTATACCATTCCGGGCCAAAAATAGCAATTTGAGAGGGATTCCGAAAACTCTGAATTACTATAATAATAAAGAAAACTTATATCTATCATCATGAAGATTTGCATCTTACAACCTTAATTAGTGTAATTATAATTAACTTAGATAAAATAAAATAGCATGTTTTTCAAAATTAAAAAGCACGTTTTTTGGCCGTTTGCCTACTGCTACTTGCAATACAGTAAGCCGGATTCACAAAACATCTATTGAAGTTTTTAATTCACTTTCAACTCGAAAAAAGTGCGCAGTGTACCAAATTTAATAGGACAAACTCAAAAAAATTCCGAAACATTTTTTGTACAAATAATAATTGACACCTTAGGAAAAAGGTACACGGAAAGAATTGTGCAGTGTACCAAATCTATAAAAAACTTAAATGTGTTTTTGATATATTTGGAATACCTAGATTTTTAAATCTATGATTACTGAAATCATGGTGCATTAAAATAAAATGAATGGCATGATTCGAGTAAAATTAAACAAATATAGATTTTAATTTTTTTAACATACTGTAAATTGGATTACCTTATATTTAGGTTTTTAATTGGAACAAACTATGAGTATACAAAAATATATAGGACGAACATAAAGAAAGTCCAAAACAATTTTTCGCAAATATCATAACTGCCATACTCGAAAATAATGTGTTTTTGCTAAATTTCAATTTGATGTCTTCAATTGTTCTTTAACCCTGTACGCGGCAACAGACCAAATTTCAAGCCCATCGATTTCCAGCCGGAATGGGCGCCTCCACGTCGTCCGCGCAAAATGAGAAAAAGGCAAAGGTGAGTGGGGATCATCGCTGATGTTTAAATTAGCGAAATGAAGTTTAGTCTATGATTTCCCCGAACTTCAGAATTTAAAGATTAAAGGCTTTACTTTTTTGGAAAACTGACAAGTAGCGTAAAATAGCGTAAAATCGTGTAATCCCCTGAAATTACAGCGGTCTCACAGCGAAATTACCGTTTTTCAGGACTTTTTGTCTGATAAAATTGTTTCAAACTTTAACAAAAATACAAAACTTCAGGTGTAAAAAGTAAGACCCCGGAAATGTAAAAACAAGTTTTGAAATCGACTTTGGTACCAGCCCAGAACATTGAAATTTTAGAATTGAAGAATAGTTCTTTCAAGTTAGGATACCAAGAGCAGCAATAGAGAAATTAAAAGCAAACGTGTTTCAAACTATGTCAAAAATAAAAAATCTTATGGCTTAAAAAGTAACAAAAACCAAAGATCAATTTTTAGTATCAAAAAGTTTGTAATAACGGAATAGAAAAAATGTTTCATGCCTTACTAAAAATAGACTGTGCAAGATAAATTCAATTCCACATAGCAAGCAGCGGAAGTATCATCGGTTATTAAAAGTAAAATGTTTTCAAGCTTTTTCAAATACCGACAGATTAGTGAAAAAACGAGATACGGTATGACGGATGATTAAAAGTTAGACGCCGTCACATCTCCGAAAAAATGCTTCAAACTTGTTAAAAAAGAACTTTAGGTGGAGCACCTCTTCCGTCAGAACAACCGATCGAATCGCAGTCGCAGTCTCGATGCCAGGTGCAACATACTTTTAGTCTTTTTTTACTGTTAAAAAGCGCTGAAGGAATTCTGCCCCAAATTTCCCTTTAATTTGACTTTGCAGGTGCAGGCTAGCAAAAATTAAGCCAAAATGCTGAAATATAGCATCAAAGTACGTTTTGGAATTTAATGAGGTCTAACCTAGAAAATTCGCCCATTCGAGAATTTAGTTGTGAGGTTGTTAAACTTTATAAATTAAATTTTAAATGATAGCGATTTTCCGAAAAAATATTTTCCTGGTTTTGCAAGGGATCCTCGACTTTCATTTCCATAATAAACCATGCGTTTTAACACCCACTTTTTGAGTCAATGCAAAACACATTATTTCAATACTTTACACTCTCAGTTCTGCTTTAATCTTGATAATTTCCCCGGATCGAAATAACAGAATAAATAAAAAAAAACTCATTGAGTCATAGTCACTAATGATAAAAATATTTTCCAAGCCAATTCAAAATAATTAAAACTTTTATGGAGCTAAGTGGCAAAAAATGATGTTTTAGGGTTTTACCAAGCCAAATTTCCTTTATTCTGGTTAATAGCCAAGAGCCCAAAACATAAATAAAAATCACGTTCCGTAATAACATCTGAAAATATTATCATGGTAACAAACAATTTTGTAGAGCTAAATGAAAAAAGGACGTTTCATGTTTTTACAATCCCAGTTCTGCTTCCAGCGTAAGAATTTCCACGGGCCAAAGAAAAACGAAAAAATGCAGAAAAATTATTGGGTTAAATGAATGTTTAAAATTTTTGATAGAATATATAGAATATTAAATATAGCTAAAGCCAAATGTAATGAATAAGTTGCAGATGCGAAAAGGCAGTCCGGCCAATCGGCTCTTCGCAATCGGCCCGCTATCCAAAGCAGCGAGGAGCCCCGAACATCAATCGGGATCATTGTGGGTTTTTTAAAGGGACTGACAAAGCAAGATTATCGAATTTTTGGCTATGAATTTTCTAAGAAAAGACTGAAAACGCTAAAAGACCTAAGAAGCATGTTTTTCAAAATCTTTTCAAAAATTTCAAAGAGTTATTGGCTTATCGATTTTTATATTTTCCAGGGCCCAGTTTTCAATAGCAAAATCTTAAATCCAATGAGGAATGGTATCGTACACGGAATTGCACCACACCTCAATTCGGAAAAGTTCGCGGGAAAGGGCAAGCTGGCGTGGAAACTAAATGTTTCAAAAAATTGGATATATCCGAGAGATTTCTCTGATTATTAATAAAACCTTTTTAAGAATGAATGGTGGCTTCCCGTGAAAATGTCACGATTAAAAAAACTGCAGTTACTTATGGTAGAACCTAATAAATTCCCAGATCCAATTTTCTATGATTTTTAACGAAATATTTATGAAGTTTGACAGTTTAAATTTTAAGTATTTCGTTTAAAAATCTCAAATTTGTGTTTCAAAAATTTGTTGCTTGCACTGAGCCAGTCAAGCGTGAATCGGACGATACGTCGATCGAGAGAATAATCGGTAGTGTTATTTGCTTTTAATATTTTGGATTTAATTTTGAGCTCGCAACGAAATGTTTGCGCAGTATTTTGACAAGGTCGTAAACAACAGCTCTATGTTTCAAAGAATTATTACTATGAATGAAACTAAGAGGGGGTAATTGAAAGCTTTGCAGTATCGAGTAGCCAAAAGATTAATAAAAGTTAGATATTCTAACACTAGTAATTTATATTCACAAGTTACAGTAATTAATTACCTAAAATGCCTAAAAATTAAAATGTTTCTTTAGCGAATGGATCAATCTCTGGCCTGTCCGCCGAACAGAAACGGGCCCTTGAAGTTTGCTGGGTGAAATGCCCCGAGCGCCAAATAAAACGCCTGTTTGAGGTATGCAATTTTTCCAATACTTTAAAATTTAATTTTAATTTAAAAATAAAGAATAATGTTTAATATAATAAATAATAATTAAATAAAGAATAAATTATAACCCACGGGATTAAAGCTCGATAGCTAAGCATTTTCCCCTGAGTCGATGAGACATTATAATTTACTGGAAACTTACTATGATTGTCTTAATATTGATCAGACAAAAAAATATGTATTTTTGGCGAAACTTCTTTTTGAAATTTCGTTTTAACTGAACTTTAATTAAAATCTAAAATTCTGCCCTTTTTTCCGAAATCCTCGAAGATTTTTACCTTTCTAGCTTGTTCAGCGTTTCAAAACTGACCCTTCGCGGCATCGGGAGCTTTATGATGCATCACGATATGTAACGCAGTTTTCTTTTCTTTTTTCTCGATTATCTTGCGTTTTTTCGCAGCTAAATACACAAATTTTCTGTTACTTTAGGGAAGATCACTGCAATTTTTTTGAGTCATAGTTTCAATCCCCCGCACCCGCGAATTTTGAATTCTTGGCCCCTTTAACGTCCTAAAAATTGCATTACCAGGCAATGGACAGGGATAATTAAAGTTTCGCAGCAACTGATATACCTTTAACATTCCGAAACATTGACTTTTTTCCTAGTTCAGTAAGTTATGTTTTTCACCTCTGCATGTTTCGGCACAAACTAAATATCACTATAGAAGCTCTAAAGAATTACTTACTTTATTTTTGTGATTTTTGCAATTTTTATAAGCCCGGGCTAGAGAGCGACCAGATTACTAGATTAAACCACGAAATTCTAAACAATTTCAGTAGCTTTTTGAAACATATAAATTCACATTGCCGGTTGTTAATATTAGTAAAGCGTATTTTCCGGAAATGATGCGCTTTTAAGCAGCCAATTTTTAAATAGCGCCATCTTATTGGAAATACTCTAATTGTTTTTTTTAACATTTTCGACAGATTGGTTGGTTGCTGAAATTTAACGACATTTTATTGCCAAGCGAGACTTGCAGGTATTGATCAAAGTGTTGGATTCATGGGGTTTTCCTGAAATTTTTTCGAAACATTAATTTTATGATGCGAGTTTTGGAAAATTGGTGAATAGCAATTGTCTAGAATTTTGAAAAAACTTAATAACAGCGAACAACCCAAAAAGCAAATAAAAAAGGTACTTTTATTTAGTTTTTAATGTTCCTATTTTCAGGACATTTTCCTCTCGATTCTGCACAGCGACGAGGATCTGCTGAAAATGTTTCGACTTGTAAGTTTTTAGGGGTTAGGGTACTTATTTTCTATCATAATATCAAAATTTCATATTGTCGAAATTTCATAATTTCATACTGTCGAAATGCAGAGTGTCGAAATTTTTTAAACCTAGATTCGGGGGGTTTATCGGGAATACTAGCTTATCGGGATGTAGACATTCTTAATTTCGATACTATGAAATTTCGACATTATGATTTTCGTCATTTTGAAAATAAGCTTCAAAAAATAAAAATACGAATGTTTATGCATATTATAATCGGAAAAATACGATTTTATTACGCACGTCCAGACGAACACAGTCCATATCTTTCCTGAAACATCGACATGTTTATCGATTGAAAGCCGATCTCTCTTTAGATGTTTATTCTATAACTATACAGTTTGCAATTATCGGAAACATGCTAATATTTATGTTCGTAGAGAATATAGTGGCACCTCTCGTGTTGGACGATTAAACACATCGAAAATCCGCGAGCAATGATTTTTGTCGAAACATCCATTTTCAGGAAAACGTCCCACGGAACAAGCTGCGCGAAAATGAATTCTTCAAAAGCCAGGCCGCCAACTTCTCGCTGGTCATCAATTTGGTGGTGACAAATCTGCAGGAGAATTCGGCTCAAGCGTGTCAGGCATTACAGGTGAGCGATTTTATAGTCTTTTTTAATTATCAAAATCGGTTGCTTGGAAACGGTAGTTCACTAATTTTGTCGGCGCAGGCCTAGATTTTGTTGAATAAGTAGCGGATGCCGTTGTACATACTTTTTAACTATTCCTGAGCTCCAAACTTTGCAAATTTTAATAAAACTTAAGATTTAGCTCGAAACAACAATTGATTATACCAAAAATCCCTCAATATTCGATTTCTTATATTTTCGTTGAAAGTTTTATTGAAGCAAAATGGTATAGCTTAATAATAGTAGAAAATAGCTTAATACCATAGGCTCACTTTTGACAAAGAAATCTGTTTACAATCACTGCCTGCAAAGAAACTATGTTTCGTTTAATCGCAAAACTAAACCTGGCTGCGAAAATTTAATCTGGTATGGTGAAATGGCGCAAAAATACTTTTGCTGTTTAAATAAAATTGAGCACGGATTATTTTCGCCTGACTTTCTTTTCTGAGTATTGAGAGTTTTCGGAGACGCATTTCCCTATCTTTTTCTGTTTTTTTTTTGTCTTTTTTCGCGCTAATTTATCCTATTTTAAAGCGTAATATAAGCTTAAACATGTAGTTGCTAAACTTCATAAAATCAAATCGACAAACACCTGCAGCTCGGAAAAATCCAGAGAATCAAATATGTTTCAAAAAAATTTGTAATTGTATTAACGGAGTGCTTTTTAATAATGACACTGTATTAAACCTTATTACTACAACCTTGGAAATAACTTAGAAATACTTTCCTATGCTTCCTAAAAAAAAATAATAAATAAAATAAAAAAAAAGCAGACGTTCGCAAAAATCCCGAGCTATAATAGGTTTCAGGGTTTTTTTAAGCATATTAACGTCGTCTTCTTAATAATCAAGCTACATTACACCATAGAAACATTTCTTTTCCAAACTCCTTAAAAGCGGATCCAAAGACCTAAAAAAACTTGAAACCAAGAATTTTCCGTTAAAAAAAACGTGAATTAAATTTGTTTCAAAAATTTGGCTTGGTATTAACGGGCATTCGACTTAATGATGATTCGATTTCTCTCTTACTTTTAGGACCTCGGCGCGCAGCACGTGCGCTATAATTCGCGTGGGTTCCAGATGATGTACTGGGATGTGTATACGGACTGTTTTGAGAGGAACTACCCGCCAACATTTAAGGTATACAAAAGATACCATCCATCCAAAAACGACGATCATCCTGTTTGTAAAAACTGTTAGGAGGCATTCTCGGGAGTTTATCGGCAATTTTTTTAGATATTTTGTGTTTCAAGATTTTAGCTGTTTTGGGAGCTATTTGGATTCAGAATTCCAGGAAACATCGGCAAACAAATAATTAAACATTGATTTTAATTTTTTCATGGGAGATTAGAATTCAATCATCCCCATTCCATGGTACCGCAGCCGCGAAACGCGACGCGCACGCCGTTTCGTCCATTTTGCAACGCATTACGCCCTTTAAATCGGCCGCGACGCACGTGCGTCGCGTGCCGCGGGGTTTTTGTGTGGTGGATCCTCTATGAATTATTCAATTTTGTCGCGCCGTTACAGGCAACGCGCTCAGGCAACTTTCTTTGTGCGGTGAAATACGATCCCTCAAGGGGGTAGAAGCGCGGCATGCGCGTTGCGTGTCGCGGCGCGGCAAAATTTCTGGAGGATCTATATACAAGACATTGATTTTATAATTTCGAATTTCATAAAGTCGGTATTCAGTCAAAATTTACATAAGTTAATTTTCCCAGAAAACCCCGAATCCGATGCAACAAATTTCGCAATTTAAATTTGAACCTCGACATCATCAAAATTTAAAAATTCTAAAATTTCCGATTATGAACTTTCGTGATCAAGGATTTCCACATTTGGATTTTCGACATTATTATAGAAAATCCATAATGTCGAATTTCATCATGTCGAAATTCCATACTTTCAAATATACGTAAGCAAGCGTCGAATTTTTTCGATAGCAAATCAGGGGTTTTCCGCGAAATTCGCTTATACAGTCTTCGACATTCTGAAGTTCTGAATTAGGAAATCTCGGCATTCTGTAACTTCGCCATTTTTAAATTTTAACATCCTGAAATTTCGACATGGCGATTTTCGGCATTCTGATAGAAAATCCCTAAATCCATCAAAATCTTCAAAACCTTGAATTTTCGGCGTTTGAAATTGGATATTTTTAATTACCTACCAATACATATATATCCCCTATTTTTCAGACCCGTTTCGAGCGTGAAGCGTGGAGCGCAATGATCCTGTTCATCCTCCAACAAATGAAACTCGGCTACACCGGCGCCGCCAAAAAACATTCCCAGTCCGACCATCGATTTCTCAGCCCGGCCAGACCGCTGTAAATTGACTTAATGAAAAATATATCTTTTGTGTGTACAATATTTCACGCAATAAATTGTAGCATTAGAAAAAAGACGAGTTATGGTATTGTTAGATCGCTATGAACCAAAAAATGTTTCAGCTTTGTGCAACTTGTGTTTCGGGACCCGCATCATAATGTTAGGCCAAGAAGTCCATCGGTATATTATTTGGCTCTCTTGCCGTATCGGGGAGGGAGGGCAAAAACGAAATCGAAGGGCGAAATTTTCCTACGTTTCCAGAAATGCCTAGTAACATCTTCGTAAAGAATTTAGTTGTGCTGCAGTAGAAATTATCTAAATTCACGTGAAAAACTAGCTAAATAATCGGAAAAATTTTTGACATTCTGGTCGTGAAAACGATGTTTTTTTAGCTTTTTAATAAAAATTTGTAAAGCATTTTGAAATGGATTTCGGTTTGGCTTGATTCATATATACGACCGCTGGTATTAATACTACTTTTTGATCATAAATATATTGAAAATTATAAAAATCTCCATGTTTTCGAATTTCAAAGATTATTTACATTTTTGTATAACTTCCAACAATCAAAACCTAATAAAAACACCAGAAATCTCTTCGCCCAGCCAGGCCGCTATAAAATGTATCCTTGGCTTACTTAAAAACACGCCTTTCTGTGTGCACAATATTTCGCGCAATAAATTTTTGCATTAGAAAAAACGCGACATGATATTGTGGGGCCCCTACCAACCAAAAAAAATGTTTCAACTTTTTGCAACTTGTGTTTCAGGACCCGATTCATAATGCGATGCGATCATCCATCAAGACTGTCTCGGGATTGGCTGTCGGGTTTCGGCTAGCTGGATCTTGGCGATCGGGCGTTTGGCTGTCCGGATTTTGGGTGTCGGGATTTTGGATTACGGAATTTTGCCGGTCGGCATTTTGTCTGTCGATATTTCGGCTTTCGGCATTTTGGACGTCGGGATCTTGGCTGTCGGGATTTTGTATCTCGCGACTTGGCCTATCGGGATTTTGGCTCTCAGGAGCATGATTGTCGATATTTTGCCTGTCGGGATTATGACCGTCGGGATTTGGGTGTGGGGATTTTCGGCGTCGGAATTTTCGAGTTCTGGATTTTGGTTGTCGGCATTGTTGAAGGACCTCAGGGTAACGGAGCTGGCTAATTCTTTTACTGCCACTGTAAGGGAATGACGGTCCAAAGATCCAAAAATTTGTAGTATGTCGCTGCAGCTGGTGGTAGCTATTTCCGGTAGCTGGTCGCCAATTTTTCGTGCAAATCGGCAGGCAGGACAGATGAGTCAACATCACGAGGGAGAGAAAGAGAGAGAGAGAGAGAGAGAGGGAGAGAGAGAGAGAGATACAGACAGACAAACATACATAAAACCCACACAAATTGGACACAGAATGGACCCGGGGGTTGCCCCGGGTTGGTGACAGTGAAAAGACGAACATGAGAGGGGGGAAACGTTTCTATTTGGCGATTACACGTGTCCTGCCCCGGCCACTCTTTATCTCTCTACCTCTCTCTTTCTCACTCTCTATCGCCTACTAGATTCTAAAACACACTCTTCTCTCCCCCATCCCTCACCTGAACCGACCATTGATCGCAAACTTTTATCGCCTGCCCGTCGGAGCTCTGCCAGCCGGTGTACCGGTTTCATGCTTTTCCCAGCCATAAATTACTAAAGCGAGGTTTTGCCTCTAAGAATCTCTGCTAGGTTGCCATAATATCCACTTAATTGCATACACTTATTGTAAGGTTTAAAATCCTAGCCTCAGGAAGCTTTTACGTCCGTTTTGCGCCCTGTGCCACCAATAGTGAAAGTTGCCCACCTGGCCCACTAGCCTGACAGATCAGCTGAGAATGCATGACAGAAGCAAGGATTTAATAAATCCATTTGAGGTTAGTATCTAACCCGAGCTCTTCTTAAGAAGACTCACAAATTTTGGAAAGCAGCTTTTCGAAGCTGCGCTAATGATTTGGACGAAAAAGGGCCATATCACTTTCCATCGGTTTATTGCTCTTGATTTGCTTGATTCGGTGAGACGATTCAGTTCCGAAAGATTGCTGGTCATGCTATCCAGAATCGTACTGTTTGATGGCTCTGGGAATCCCGGGGATGTCATGTTCGCGCGAAATGTTCCTTGCTCCCGTGCGCAGCAAAAGACGCCCACCTGGCCCACTAGCCTGACAGATCAGCTGAGAAGTGAATCACAGAATAACGGATTTAATAGATCCATTTGAGGTTAGTATCTGACCCAAGCTCTTCTTCAGAGGACGCATAAATTTTGGAAAGCAGTTTTTCGGGACTGGGCGAATAATTTGGACGAAAAAGGGCCTGATATCACTCTCCATCGGTTTATTGCTCTTAATTTGCTTGATTCGGTGAGACGATTCAGTTCCGAAAGATTGCTGGTCATGCTATCCAGAATCGTACTGTTTGATGGCCCTGGGAATCCTGGGGAAGCCCCGCTGGCCCCTACTGTTCTTTGATCCCACTGGCAGCGAGAGACACCCACCTGGCCCACAGGGATGACAGATCAGCAGAAAATTGTCCGGCTCTGCACGGATTTGATAAATCCATTTGAGGTTAAAATTTGACCGGAACTCTACAATGGAGGTCTCCTAAATTTTGGAACGCAGCTTTTCGAAGCTGCACTACACCTCCATAACCACTCATTTATAGCGCCCTAGTTCCCCCACTAGACTGGACCGCTGCCGCGCAACATACCGTACAAATCGTACCCAAAGAGCGGCGTGCCGGGGGCAATTATGGATTCCTCGAAGATGGGCGTCGAGATCCTGTCGCTACGTGCGGTTCCCGAAGGCCTCCCAGCCTTTCCAGGAAATGCGCGATTTTCGGAAAGCGCCTTGTTGATGCTGATCGCCCGGGTCGAATTTCTCGGTACACCCCCAGGGCCCATTACGCCGCCCGGTTACCGTACTTCAAATTTCTTCAAACTGGCAGGGAAAATCAATACGTGCGATTTTTGGCTGCTGACAGCTGCTTCATTCCGAGGGTCCAAAATGTGGTGTGGATTATAGGGGAGAAAATGGGAATTTTTAGGGGTTGAATTCTGGGTATATGGACAAATTGTCGGGGGATTGCCTGGAGGCGTACTTGATGTCGGGATTGGGTGTTTGATCTTTATGCCCCTCTGTATGGGGGGATTGCCTTAAATACTGGTAGCAAATGGGTGGTGGGGAGGGTAGAGTGGTGAGGGAGGTCATTTCCGGGGCATGCTGACCTCCATTATGGACTTTACCCTTCTCGGTTGCTCTAAATCTCTTGCTCACCATCTACGGAAATATATCTCTCGCTCGCGCTCTCTCTCTCTCTCTCTCTCTCTCATTTGTCTATTTTACCACGTTTTTCTTCAGTTAACAAGCCCAACCGTAATGCAGAACCATTAGACCTTTTCAAAGCCGTCAAGGGTCGGTTTTTGATAAAAAATTAATTCAATTTTTTAAGAGTTTTTCATGATTTCGTAATCTTGGTTTTCTTGTTTCTCAAGCTGATTTCGGGTCTTTCGCTCTCTCAGTCACGACTCTCTCACTAGCTCTCTCTTTCTCTCTCTCTCACTCCTTCTCTTCACTGGGGTAAAGTCACTACCCCGAAAAGTCACTACCCCGAAAAGTCATTACCCCGAAAAGTCATTACCCCGAAAAGTCACTACCCCGAAAAGTCACTACCCCGAAAAGTCACTACCCGAAATAATTTGCATGATTTTCATAGGAAAACAGCATGAAAACAGGATTTTTCCGGGGAAAACAATGCTATCATTTTTCGGGGTAAACGATTTCGGGTAGTGACTTCTCGGGGTAGCGACTCTTCGGGGTAGTGACTTTCGGGGTAGTGACTTTTCGGGGTAGTGACCGGACGGCCTCTTCACTATCTCTCTCTATCTCTCACTCTCTCTCTCTTGCTCGCTCGCTCTCTCTCTAACTTTTGTTCACGATTGTCCGATAGTGTTTCCAGGGCTGCAAACATTTTTTTGCGAATTGGGTCTATCGGTATTATTTTTACCAGCCTTCTCTAAAATTCATAATTTGAAGGAACACACCTTTTGCAGACTCTAGTATAGTTTTGTGTGGTAGGCTTCCTATACCCTCAAATACTTTCCTTGCTCGGAAGAATATAGGGCAATCAAATTTTTTGACCTTTTGTAAGTGAAGTTTATGGACTATATGAACAATTTTTGAGTATCACCGGCGTCAACCATTAACAGTATAAACAGTAATATAATTTTGGAATCAATATATCATCAGCACAAATTTAGAATAAAGATTAGTATGTTTTAAAACGGGGTGATTTTTGTGATCAAATTCTATTCCCATTTTTCTGAGTCGCGTGAAGATGAAATGTTTCAGTTTTTGTTGCATTCCCGGGGCTGATATTAATCAATTAATCCCTGAGCACTTCATACCCAAAAGTTTTTTTAAGCATAATACGGTATTACCTTACTTATTAATGGAGATGCCAGTTTAAAAAAGCGCATCAAGCCAAGTAAACTGCACAATATCCAATTTCTTCCCAGCAGAATCGTCATTTCCTCTCGCAAATCCGGAACGGGTGAGAGAGAGAGAGTGAGAGAGCGAGAGAGAGAGAGAGATAGATAGATAGACAGAAAATAGTGACCGCGAGCGAACCACCGGAAAAACGGGAACTAATCGATTCGTTCCGCGACTGATTTTTTGGTCCGGGAAATCCCCCGCCCCGGCGCTCACTTTTTGTTTTTATTTTGCGTCCATCCGCTCCATTCCGCCAATTCTAATCAGCCACGTGGCATCCCTTCCATTTTCCGCAAAAACCCGGGAAACCCCTCGATTTTCTGGGGCTAAAATTGCTTCGATTTTCGACCTTGAGCGTTTGAACTTTCGTATTTTGCTTGATGGACAATTTAAGAAAATTGCGGCCTTGAAAGTGGCGCATTCGGACAATAATTATCAAACATTCAAACATTAATTCTAATTTTCACGATAATTATAGGGATTTTTG